TTGGGGAGCAGGGGGAGGGGGCTGGATACTGTAATCCCATGTTGGGGAGCAGGGGGAGGGGGCTGGATACTGTAATCCCATGTTGGGGAGCAGGGCGAGGGGACTGGATACCGTAATCTCATGCTGGGGAGCAGGGGGAGCCCGAGAAGCAGGGAAGTGGAAGTTGTGACCTTTTTAAAAAAATGTATTTTGAAAATTAAATGTTTTGGTTCATAAATCAGTAAATACCTAGAATAGCAAATTAAAAGAAATGACACAGAAATGTTTTATTTTTATTTTCTCAAATTGAGGAATTTTAAGTTTCCTTACCTGCTAGCTTTGAAAAGATTTTTAGTAGGTTAAAAAAAAATCAAACTCCACACCAGTTGCATATTTAAATCACTCAGGTCCTGGGACCCTCACCCCCAAAGATTCTGATTAAATAGTCTGGGATGGACCCTGGGCATCTATGGCATATTTCCTTGTTTTCAAAGATGCTCAAGCATTTCCAGTGTGCAGCTAGTCACTGCCCTAAATATAAATTCACAATACTTGCAACAAAACCCCTGAAAACACAACTATTACTTTCCATATGAAAGCTCAAATGATGGTATCATTAAGCTAATTCAGATAGAATTTTTATTTCTTTTTTAAAGATTTTATTTTTAAGTAATCTCTACACCCAACATGGGGCTCGAACTACAACCCTGAGATCAAGAGTCCCATGCTCTACTCACTGAGCCAGCCAGGTGCCCCTAGAACCTTTATTTTTTGAGTTACAGGAGTACCTATTCACCTTTTATAAATCCTGCAAAATAAAATGAAAACAAAATGAAATTTAGCTCTAATTCAAGGCTTTGCTTTCAAACACGTAACTTGCATCTTCTAACAGTTATCTGGGGTCCCGGGGCGGGTGGGGGATTAAGAAAAGCAAGGGGTGAGATTATGCCCCCAAGAACATTTGGCAACATTTTTGGTTGTCACAACTGGAGTGAGGGGCATCTAGTGCACAGAGGCCAGGGATGCTCTAAAAACATGCCACAATGCACAGGACAGCACCCACAGCAAAGACTTATCCAGACCAAAATGTCAACAGTGCCAACAAACCTGGCTCTGTACTTCAAAACCTCATCTGGGGTTGCCAGCTGTTGGTTTTCCACCCAGTGACACAAGCGTTTCATGAGGGTGTGGAGGGAGAAGGGGCACAATCAGCCCTTCCCAGTGACTTGGGAGCTTCAGTGGACTGTTTCTCTCAGCACCAACCCCAATCCCTCCACAGGGGCTCACACATTGCACAGCAGCTGACCAGAGCTCCACGCTGTGGTCCTAAATGCCACAACCCACGGAGGGGGTATAAGTGATAATAGCTGTCAGCCCCGAAACGGAGTTTATGGCAATTCACACTGCGCTGGAAAACAGATAGCTACATTAGATAAACAGGGTCCCCCGACATAAGACAAGACATTACTGCACAATCGCTGACGTTTAAGGTTAAAGCCATCACATCAAAACTCTAAGTAACCTAAATAGGACAAAGGGGAAAAGGTGAGGAGGGAAATTTAAAGCTTCATTCTTTTTTGTTGCACAATTAAAGCCTTTAAGAACATTTTTCTCTATTGCTTTCCTTCAGACTTTCCCTTTTCTCCTCACTTCTAACTACCCAGAAAGGGAAAATCAGCAATTCCTGTAAAAAACTTAATAGAGTTGTCACCTGAACAGAGGAAGATTAGAAGAGTAGAGAATCTGGATCGTAGGCACTAGTTCAACTCAAATACTCGCTTGGCCTCAGGCAAACTACTCAATGGCCAGTTAATGGCTTAGAAAAATGGGAGTTTTAGAATGATGATCACTCCTGTGTCTTGCAGCAATTTAAAACAACAAGGAAAACAGTAACAGAAACCTGTATTTCATAATTGCTTTAGAGAGAAAGTTGTCCACAGACTAGATTTTTCTATTCAAACACCCTCACCCTGAAAGCAGTCCTGGGAAACAGCCCATCAGGAGGTATTTGTAAACATGATGTAAGAGATCAATTAATTTCAATCAGTGTAATCTAATTAAAATGAGGTTAGGCTATTCACTTAACATTCAACAACATCTCTTACAACAATTTCTGTAGTGTGCGTTGTTGGTAGACTTCATTTGTGCAGTATTTCACATACGGGTCAAAGGTGGACGCTGTGTGCTTTTCCACAATGTCACTTATATCATCTATGAAGATATTATTCTGATGTCTTGCTTCCAACTCTGTAAAGAATCTGGAAAAACAAAGAAAAGCATTTACATTTTCTTACATACACTTGAAAAAATCAGATTATTCTCATGTAATGTTACTATATACAGGATTTGGAAATATCAACAGTGCACAATACCAACTCAAAGAGATGTAAGAAAAAACTATAAAGATTGTCTAAATTCAAATCTATCATATTAACATCTTATTACTTCGAGTGTTCAACACTGATAACATAGGGCACTTCTGTGCATTCAGGTATATTTTAGAATGTACAGATTTCACTATTTTTCCAAGAATTCCCTAGATAGTGGAGGGGGTGCAGTCATGTTTCCATATTTTATTGTATTGAAAAGCCTATGAGCAAAACATCTGAAGTATTTAAAAAACAAGTCTGAGGGGCGCCTGGGGGCCTCAGTCATTTAAGTGTCCAGTTTGGGTTCAGATCATGATCTCAGGGTCGTTAGATCGAGCCCTGTGTCTGGCTCCATGCTGCTGAGCGAGGAGCCTGCTTAAGATTCTTTCTCTCCCTCTCCCGCTTCCCCTCCCCCACTTGCTCTCTCTCTCTCTCAAAAAAAGAAAGTCTGGGGCGCCTGGGTGGCTCAGTCGTTAAGCGTCTGCCTTCAGCTGAGGTCATGATCCCAGGGTCCTGGGATCGAGCCCCGCATCGGGCTCCCTGCTCCGCGGGAAGCCTGCTTCTCCCTCTCCCACTCCCCCTGCTTGTGTTCCCTCTCTCGCTGTGTCTCTCTCTGTCAAATAAATAAATAAAATCTTTAAAAAAAAAAAAAAGAAAGTCTGAAATAAACCTAATTCTGGGTCCTTTTTCTGAAAATAATCATATTATTTTAAATCTAATAATATGCATGACATTTAAATGTACTCAGAAATTATTAAGATTGCATTTTAGGGTTGCGATTTGGGGTGTGTTTGTATGTATCTATCTATATGGTGTCCAGTCCAGTGAAAATTAAATTTCAGATAAATGAGTTATTTTGTAGTACAGGTAATGTGCAAAAATAGTGAATGGGACGTCTTGAGCATCCTGTATTTTATCTGGCAACCCTAGAGGGCAGCCAATTTCAACAGCACATCAAAATCAGATATTTGAAACAGGTTTCTACCCAGAGCACTGCTGCTCAAAATGTAGTCCATAGACCAGAAATCTAAGAGCTTACTAGAAATGCAGAATCTCATCATCCACGGCCATCCCCCCAATCCGAACCTGCATTTTATCAAGATCTTCAGATGATTCGAATACACAGTAGAAGTTGAGACAAACCTCCCCTAGAGCACACTTACTGTCCATGTTTGGAGGGATAGGAAAATCTGCTAGAAAGAACTGTCACTGTGCGGCCAAAGCATCTTCCAAAAAAAGTGTAATGAAGGTGAAATTAACAGTAATTTCTAATGTTGACCTCTGGAACAATCATACAAGAGAAATTTAGTTTTCTTTTTCTTTTAAAGATTTTTATTTATTTATTTATCTGAGAGAGAGAGATAGAGAGAGTGCGTGCACACAAGCAGGGGGGAGGGGCAGAGGGAGAAGCAGACTCCACTGAGCAGGGAGCCTAATGCAGGGCTCAATCCCAGGACCCCGGGATCATGACCTGAGCCAAAGGCAGACACTTAACCAACAGAGCCACCCAGGCACCCCATGAGAAATTTAGTTTTCAATAACCTCTTTAACATTCATCACATCATTACTCCTAATTAGTTCGCTGGGTGGACCCCAAATACAAAATTCAAGGCTGACAGTGAATGAGACAACAGAAATTTACACAAGATGATTAATAGTAAATATAAGCTAACATTTTCTCACATTTGCATCTCAGTTATTTTTAAAGAATACTCTGGCACTCAGCAATAAAACAATCCAGATTTTAAGAGGTTTTGATTTTATACATTTACATGTACATTAAGTGCATTGTAGTATATACTGTATGCGTTTGTCATCATTACCGATTTTATTTTAAACGTTTCCATAGGACTTTAAAAGATGAAGAAATATACCTTAACTCCTAGAAGACTAAAATTACTTATGCTCAGAGAAAGCATAGAAAAATTTTTTATTTCCTTTAAGGAGAATTTAGGGAAAATAATCAGTAGGATTCCCATCCATAGATGTAACTGTCCTAGTTATCCAAGCCTTTTGTTTAAAACAGCAAAAGAAAAAACTTAAAGCACACTTGGCTGGGCTATTTGCCTTTCCTTCCAAAGGTATCAGGGTTAATATGCACAATTCTTAAACAGTAGGTTAGAAATACCAAATTATGTTCCAAACTAGCTTCATATCACTTTGTCAAGACTAGTCTATTAACATTCAAGTACAATATCAAACACTCTCCTAAAAGTTTCAGCAATTGCAAAAACAACCTACTCCAAACCCCTATGTTTGCTAAAGGATATTTAAAAGCCATTTCTTTTTTTTTTTAAAGATTTTATTTATTTGACAGAGAGAGAGAGAGAACAAGCATGGAGAGTGGCAGGCGGAAGCAGAGGGAGAAGCAGGCTCCCGGAAGAGCAGGGCGAGCCCGATGTGGGACTCGATCCCAGGACCCCGGGATCATGACCTGAGCTGAAGGCAGTCGCTTAACCAACTAAGCCAACCAGGCACCCTAAAAGCCATTTCTTAAAAGATATTTTCTATATAGACTGGTCCCTGTATTCAAGAAATCCATGTTATATTGGGAAGGTAAGGCTGATAAACACAGATGATACAGAAAGAACATGTATGCATACAACCACATGTTGGAACATATGTGCCTAAGGGTGGTGGTGTCAGTATCTTTTTTTTTAATTATATGAACTATGTATGTTTTTAATTGGGGTAAAATATATGTAACATAAAATTTGCCATTTTAATCATTTTTAAGTGTACAATTCAACGGCATTAATTACAGTCACGATGTTGTAAAATTTTCACCATTTCCAAAATATTTTTAACACCTCCAACAGAAATATTATACGCATCACCTAATAATGCTCCATTCCCCCTCTCCCCAGCCCCTAATCACTTCTTTGTGGGGGGGGGGGCTGAGGGGGAGGGAGCATGAGAATCCCAAGCAGGCTCCACACCCAGTGCAGAGCCCAACATGGGGCTCGATCTCACAACCCTGAGATCACGACCTGAGCTGAAATTAAGAGTCAGCTGCTTAACGAACTGAGCCACCCAGGCGCTCCCTTCTGATCACTTCTAATCTACTTTCAATCTCTATGAATTTGCCTATTCAAGATATCTCATATAGGTGGAATCATAAAATATTTGTGCTTTTTGTCTTGCTTATTACACTTAGTGTAATGTTTTCTGGGTTAATCTATGCTGACACATGTAACAGAACTTTATTCCTCTTTATGGCTGAATAATATTCTATTGCATATATATATATGGATATATATGGATAAGCATAATATGATATAATTATACATATATATATATCATATTACACTTATCCATTCATCTGTTGATGGACACTTAGGCTGTTTCTACCCTTTGGCCATTGTGAATAAATGATACTGCTATGAACATTTGTGCACAAGCATCTGTCTGAGTCCTTGTTTTCAAGTCTTTGGCACTATATACCTAGGGATGGAACTTTAACCTCACTGACTCTGCCAAAAATAGTATACATCAAGAAGTCACAGTATAATACCAAGAACCAGTACAGAAGAAGCTGAGTTATATGCCAAGGAGAGATGACTTCATTAAATGAAAGTTGAATAGGAAATGATCCTTTCTTTCCCAATACCCACAGATGAGTAGCCCATGGGAAGCATGGTACCCGTGAATACAAGACCTCTAACAGAGGCGTACAGTGAAAAGTCCAGAGGGCCAGTGACTGACAGCGAGGAAAGGTGTGAGGAGAATGGCATTAGTGGGAGCAGAGGGGCAGGGGAAACAACACAGCTACAGGAATGAATCGGGAAACTGGCATTCAGTGGGACTGAGGTGTTGGCCACAGGAGGACCAATGGCAGACAATGAGGGTTGAAAAGCAGGTCAGGGCCAGACTGCAAAGGCTTGACTGTATGCTGAGGAGCTGGAGCTTCATCTGTGGACAATGAGAACTACTGGAGGTGATGAAGACAATCAATCATCCGATCAGAGAAAACTGGGGTAGAGAAGGGGTAGAGTACAAGTGGGGAGAGGACAGACCGCAAGCAGGCCAGCAAAACGGCTAATGTGGGCATCAAGCCTGGCAGTAGGAAATCAAAAAGAGAAGACACAGAGTAGGGTAACAATTTGGAGGAAAAGTTCACAGAAAGAAAAAAAACCTCATCAGATGGGAAGTCAAGGAAGATGCTGGGATGTCTATTCAAGATTTCCACCTGGGTAGCAAGGGCGGGGGGCATTGAATTATGCACAAAGACGGGGATTTAGGAGGAGCAAGGGGAAGCAAGAAGGAGCAGTTTAATTTTGCCTTAGACACGTCAAAAGGACAGCTAAAAATACACGTCTGTGAGAATTCAGAGCCACAGGAGTTCTAGGTAGTACGTAGTCAGGACTAGTTCACTTCTAGCTGGTTTTCATATAAATGCAAAATATTTGTTCATTATTTTAACTCCACGTGTCTTTCAGGAAAATGTTCAAAGAAAACTGAAAAAATAAGAAACCATTCATAAGGTCATTATCATGTAAATCTAAAAAATAAATGTCTCAGAGGCAAATCGCCCTTACCGTTTCTTGTCTTTAACTATTATAGTCTGAAGGAATGCAAGTACATAACCAAAAACAACAGTAACTTGGCTTTTCCCAATGAAAAGGAAAATTCATTTATCACAGTAAAAGCCTTGCCAAAGTACAAGATGAAAAACAAAGCACTAATGAAATATGTGTTTATGCTACTTACTTCAATATACTATAAACCAAGCCACCCATCTTTTATTTTGACATTAGCATAATTAAGACATAATTTAAAGCTTCCTATGTTAAATTATCTATTGGTTATTTTGGCAAATTTGCATATTTTACTAAGTGAGCTGAGCTACAAAAAAGACCAAGAAAGTTATTACTGAAGAATGAGATATT